TTATTTGTTGTAATTGTTCTATACACTTCTATCAGTTCCTTGTTAATGACTCCATCACTTGCCTTCTTTTATACGTATTTATTGTTTCATGCTGACGGTGGTTAACCACAGCAACGTATTCCCATTGTGTAAGCAAGAGACCCGTCTACCCATCTTTTGGACGGCCTATTCTTGGATGAGTTGGAAGAAATTTGATAGAGACGGCATGAGGGCGGCCCAGCTTTACCCCTGCATGAAAATAAAATTGTTGGTTTTTCCCACACCCTCTCCCCCTAGGGCACTTCGTGCCCGCAGCATCCTCGCTTCGCTCAGATGGTGAGAATCCCAGATTTTTTTCCTGGCTAACACCCTGCGTATTCCTCAGTAGTAACCGTCTTTTGATCGACTCATAGTTTAACTTTTAGCATCCTTGTGTGGTTATGTTTTAGGTTTTAGTATTAACGTGTTCTCGTGTGTGTACGTCAGTTGCCTTTACTAGTTGTTATAATGCTTTTTACATTTAGTGTCGCTTTACACAATGTTAAAATGTAGTGTGTGATTTAGTTTTACTTTTAGTAAAAGTNATTAACGTGTTCTCGTGGTGTGTGTACGTCAGTTGCCTTTACTAGTTGTTATAATGCTTTTTACATTTAGTGTCGCTTTGCCCAATGTTAAAATGTAGTGTGTGATTTAGTTTTACTTTTAGTAAAAGTACATACACTTGGGTACCTAGCTGCCCTGGTGTCGCTTGTTAAGCTACCATTTTAAATAGCTCTTCACTTTTTTTTATTATTGCAAGCTCATGTTGATATGTTATCTACCAATGTACGGTCTTATACGTGTCTTGTAAAAAATAAATGACAGTGTAATACGGTTTCATATCGTGAAATTGGAGAAGATAGACTTCGAGGGAAATAAAAGTGACAATATAACAAGTGCCGCGGAGCGACAGCGCTCATCTAACGTCTACTTTTATTGTGGTGGAATGTAATCGGGGCAGAGGTAATTTAAATGGGGCGCAACGATTGAAACAGGGGGGAGTTTTCCCAAATGGGGCGCG